CTGTACACCGGGAAAGTGTTCTCCATCTTCGACCTCAACTCGGCTTTCCATCAGATCGTCTGTGATGAAGACACTGTCCCGCTCACCGCCTTTTGAACTCCCACGCAGTTATTCGAATGGCTTCGGATACCGCAGGGCGCCAACGCAAGTCCGTCTTGATTCGTCAAGGTCATCAACAGAGTGGTGCACGGTCTGGAGCGTGTGCTGGCTTATCTGGACGATGTCATCTGTTTCGATGAGGAACCTCTGGGACACTTGCTAAACTTGATCGAGTTCTTCAAACGACTGCGACAGTACAACCTCAAACTGTCTCGAGGGAAGGGTCGCGTCGGCGCCACGCACGCCAACTTTCTCGGTCACACCATCTCTCCGGCAGGTGTTAGNGGCGTCCCCTTCAAGTACACCCCGGGCATGGTCAAGGTTGTCAAAACGTCGTCAAGCGAACTCGCTCGCCCCCCGATTTCGGCCTTCCCGGATTGGGCAGCAATCGAGGACAACAGCCGTCCTCTTCGTTCGTGTTTCGACGCGTGTATCGACGGTTTTGGCGCCTCCTTGGAACAAGAACAGCTCGATGGCTCGGTGAGACCCATCGTGTACATCAGCCGCGCTACTCTTCCTGCGGAGCGTAACTGGACCGTTTTGGATCTGGAGGCTGGTGACATTGTTTGGGCCATCAAACGCCTTTGCGGTTATCTGTGGTCGACCAACTTCATCATATATTCGGACCACAAAGCATTGGAGAGCATTGGCAAGGTTGGGGAACACAACGCTAGGGTGCAACGATGGCTCGAATTCCTGTCCAACTTCACCTACACCCTGAAATATCGGAAAGGTTCGGCAAACGCCAACGCGGATTTTCTTTCGCGGTTGCCTTTACCAGCACAAGACACGGACAAAACCGGCGCTAACTGCATTGATGATGTCGATCAAGCGGGTGTTCTCCTCATTTGGGCTTGCGGGCGATTACTCGTCGTCTACACCGGAGGTCGGTTTGGGTGGGCTCCGCCCTCCTTGCACGGCAGGAGTCTTTTCGCCCCCAGCGTTGCAGCCCTCCGATTTTGGGGATTTTCGCCGACATCACCCGCGTCGGGTGGATGCTCTGACGGAC